TGTATCTCTATATATCTCTATGTATCTCTATGTATCTCTATATATCTCTATGAGTCTTTATATATTTCTATGTATCTCTATGTATCTCTATGTATCTCTATGTATCTCTATGAGTCTCTATGTATCTCTATGTATCTCTATATATCTCTATGTATCTCCATGTATCTCTATTTATCTCTATATATCTCTATATATTTCTATGTATCTCTATGTTTCTCTATGTATCTCCATGTATCTCTACGTGTCTCTATGTATCTCTATGTATCTCTATGTATCTCCATGTGTCTCTATGTATCTCTATATACCTCTATGTATCTCTATGTATCTCTATATATCTCTATGTATCTCTATGTATCTCCATGTATCTCTATATATCTCTATGTATCTCTATGCATCTCTATGTATCTCTATGAGTCTCTATGAGTCTCTAAGTATCTCTATGAGTCTCTATGTATCTCTATGAGTCTCTATGTGTCTCTGTGGGTCTCTATGTATCTCTATGTATCTCTATGTATCTCTATGAGTCTCTATATATCTCTATGTATCTCTATGAGTCTCTATGTATCTCTATGTATCTCTATATATCTCTATGTGTCTCTATGTATCTCTATGTATCTCTATATATCTATATATCTCTATGTATCTCTATGTATCTCTATATATCTCTATGTATCTCTATGTATCTCTATGTATCTATATGTATCTCTATGTATCTCTACGAGTCTCTATGTATCTCTATGTATCTCTATATATCACTATGTATCTCTATGTATCTCTATGTATCTCTATGAGTCTCTATATATCTCTATGTATCTCTATGAGTCTCTATGTATCTCTATGAGTCTCTATGAGTCTCTATGTATCTCTATGAGTCTCTATGTATCTCTATGTGTCTCTATGAGTCTCTATGTATCTCTATGTGTCTCTATGAGTCTCTATGTATCTCTATGTATCTCTATGTGTCTCTATGTATCTCTATGTGTCCCCATGAGTCTATATGTATCTCTATGTATCTCTATGTATCTCTATATATCTCTATGTATCTCCATGTATCTCTATGTATCTCTATATATCTCTATATATTTCTATGTATCTCTATGTATCTCTATGTATCTCCATGTATCTCTACGTGTCTCTATGTATCTCTATGTATCTCTATGTATCTCCATGTGTCTCTATGTATCTCTATATATCTCTATGTATCTCTATGTATCTCTATGTATCTCTATGTATCTCCATGTATCTCTATATATCTCTATGTATCTCTATGCATCTCTATGTATCTCTATGAGTCTCTATGAGTCTCTATGTATCTCTATGAGTCTCTATGTATCTCTATGAGTCTCTATGTGTCTCTGTGGGTCTCTATGTATCTCTATGTATCTCTATGTATCTCTATGAGTCTCTATATATCTCTATGTATCTCTATGAGTCTCTATGTATCTCTATGTATCTCTATGTGTCTCTATGTATCTCTATGTATCTCTATATATCTCTATATATCTCTATGTATCTCTATGTATCTCTATATATCTCTATGTATCTCTATGTATCTCTATGTATCTATATGTATCTCTATGTATCTCTACGAGTCTCTATGTATCTCTATGTATCTCTATATATCACTATGTATCTCTATGTATCTCTATGTATCTCTATGAGTCTCTATATATCTCTATGTATCTCTATGAGTCTCTATGTATCTCTATGAGTCTCTATGAGTCTCTATGTATCTCTATGAGTCTCTATGTATCTCTATGTGTCTCTATGAGTCTCTATGTATCTCTATGTGTCTCTATGAGTCTCTATGTATCTCTATGTATCTCTATGTGTCTCTATGTATCTCTATGTGTCCCCATGAGTCTATATGTATCTCTATGTATCTCTATGTATCTCTATATATCTCTATGTATCTCCATGTATCTCTATGTATCTCTATATATCTCTATATATTTCTATGTATCTCTATGTATCTCTATGTATCTCCATGTATCTCTACGTGTCTCTATGTATCTCTATGTATCTCTATGTATCTCCATGTGTCTCTATGTATCTCTATATATCTCTATGTATCTCTATGTATCTCTATATATCTCTATGTATCTCTATGTATCTCCATGTATCTCTATATATCTCTATGTATCTCTATGCATCTCTATGTATCTCTATGAGTCTCTATGAATCTCTATGTATCTCTATGAGTCTCTATGTATCTCTATGAGTCTCTATGTGTCTCTGTGGGTCTCTATGTATCTCTATGTATCTCTATGTATCTCTATGAGTCTCTATATATCTCTATGTATCTCTATGAGTCTCTATGTATCTCTATGTATCTCTATATATCTCTATGTGTCTCTATGTATCTCTATGTATCTCTATATATCTCTATGTGTCTCTATGTATCTCTATGTATCTCTATATATCTCTATATATCTCTATGTATCTCTATGTATCTCTATATATCTCTATGTATCTCTATGTATCTCTATGTATCTATATGTATCTCTATGTATCTCTACGAGTCTCTATGTATCTCTATGTATCTCTATATATCACTATGTATCTCTATGTATCTCTATGTATCTCTATGAGTCTCTATATATCTCTATGTATCTCTATGAGTCTCTATGTATCTCTATGAGTCTCTATGAGTCTCTATGTATCTCTATGAGTCTCTATGTATCTCTATGTGTCTCTATGAGTCTCTATGTATCTCTATGTATCTCTATGTATCTCCATGTGTCTCTATGTATCTCTATATATCTCTATGTATCTCTATGTATCTCTATATATCTCTATGTATCTCTATGTATCTCCATGTATCTCTATATATCTCTATGTATCTCTATGCATCTCTATGTATCTCTATGAGTCTCTATGAGTCTCTATGAATCTCTATGTATCTCTATGAGTCTCTATGTATCTCTATGAGTCTCTATGTGTCTCTGTGGGTCTCTATGTATCTCTATGTATCTCTATGTATCTCTATGAGTCTCTATATATCTCTATGTATCTCTATGAGTCTCTATGTATCTCTATGTATCTCTATATATCTCTATATATCTCTATGTATCTCTATGTATCTCTATATATCTCTATGTATCTCTATGTATCTATATGTATCTCTATGTATCTCTACGAGTCTCTATGTATCTCTATGTATCTCTATATATCACTATGTATCTCTATGTATCTCTATGTATCTCTATGAGTCTCTATATATCTCTATGTATCTCTATGAGTCTCTATGTATCTCTATGAGTCTCTATGAGTCTCTATGTATCTCTATGAGTCTCTATGTATCTCTATGTGTCTCTATGAGTCTCTATGTATCTCTATGTGTCTCTATGAGTCTCTATGTATCTCTATGTATCTCTATGTGTCTCTATGTATCTCTATGTGTCCCCATGAGTCTATATGTATCTCTATGTATCTCTATGTATCTCTATATATCTCTATATATCTCTATGTATCTCTATGTATCTCTATGAGTATCTATATATCTCTATGTATCTCTATGAGTATCTATGAGTATCTATGAGTCTCTATGTATCTCTATGTATCTCTACGAGTCTCTATGTATCTCTATGTATCTCTATATATCACTATGTATCTCTATGTATCTCTATGTATCTCTATGAGTCTCTATATATCTCTATGAGTCTCTATGTATCTCTATGTATCTCTATGAGTCTCTATATATCTCTATGTATCTCTATGAGTCTCTATGTATCTCTATGTATCTCTATATATCTCTATGTATCTCTATGTATCTCTATATATCTCTATGTATCTCTATGCATCTATATGTATCTCTATGTATCTCTACGAGTCTCTATGTATCTCTATGTATCTCTATATATCACTATGTATCTCTATGTATCTCTATGTATCTCTATGAGTCTCTATATATCTCTATGTATCTCTATGAGTCTCTATGTATCTCTATGAGTCTCTATGAGTCTCTATGTATCTCTATGAGTCTCTATGTATCTCTATGTGTCTCTATGAGTCTCTATGTATCTCTATGTGTCTCTATGAGTCTCTATGTATCTCTATGTATCTCTATGTGTCTCTATGTATCTCTATGTGTCCCCATGAGTCTATATGTATCTCTATGTATCTCTATGTATCTCTATATATCTCTATATATATCTATGTATCTCTATGTATCTCTATGAGTATCTATGAGTATCTATGAGTCTCTATGTATCTCTATGTATCTCTATGAGTCTCTATGTATCTCTGAGTCTCTACGAGTCTCTATGTATCTCTATGTATCTCTATGAGTCTCTGTGTATCTCTATATATCTCTATATATCTCTATGAGTCTCTATGTATCTCTATATATCTCTATGTGTCTCTATGTATCTCTATGTATCTCTACGAGTCTCTATGTATCTCTATGAGTCTCTATGTATCTCTATGTATCTCTATGTGTCTCTACGAGTCCCTGTGTGTCTCTATGAGTCTCTATGTATCTCTATGTATCTCTATGAGTCTCTATGTATCTCTATATATCTCTATGTGTCTCTATGTATCTCTATGTATCTCTATATATCTCTATGTGTCTCTATGAGTCTCTATGTATCTCTATGAGTCTCTATGTATCTCTATATATCTCTATGTATCTCTATGTATCTCTATGTATCTCTATGTATCTATATGTATCTCTATGAGTCTCCATGTATCTCTATGAGTCTCTATGTATCTCTATATATCTCTATGTGTCTCTATGTATCTCTATGTATCTCTACGAGTCTCTATGTATCTCTATGTATCTCTATGAGTCTCTATGTATCTCTATGTATCTCTATGTATCTCTATGAGTCTCTATGTATCTCTACGTGTCTCTATGTATCTCTATGTATCTCCATGTGTCTCTGTGTATCTCTCCCTCACCTGCCGAGGAATTTCTGAGCCCCCAAGGCCTGCAAAGAGCTGCAGAGTTGAGCGGCGTCAGCATAGGCAGCAGACACCTCCTGGTGTATCGCTTCTCTCTGTGGGTACAAGTGGGTGGGTGGGTGGGTGAGTGACTGAGTGAGTGACTGAGCAGGTGAGTGACTGAGTGAGTGACTGAGTGAGTGAGTGAATGAGTGAGTGACTCAGTGACTGAGTGACTGAATAACTGAGTGAGTGGGTGAGTGGTGAGTGGGTGAGTGAGTGACTGACTGACTAAGTGAGTGACTGAGTGACTGACTGAGTGACTGACTGAGTGACTGAGTGACTGACTGACTGAGTGACTGAGTGAGTGAGTGGGTGAGTAGGTGAGTGAGTGGGTGATTGACTGAGTGACTGAGTGACTGAGTGACTGAGTGAGTGACTGAGTGACTGACTGACTGACTGACTGAGTGACTGAGTGACTGACTGAGTGACTGAGTGACTGACTGAGTCACTGACTGACTGACTGACTGACTGACTGAGTCACTGACTGAGTGACTGACTGACTGAGTGACTGAGTGACAGAGTGAGTGAGTAGGTGAATGATTGAGTGACTGAGTGACTGAGTGAGTGACTGACTGACTGAGTGAGTGACTGACTGAGTGACTGACTGAGTGACTGACTGAGTGACTGACTGACTGACTGGTGAGTCTAGTCACCCCTCTAGTGATGCACTCCTTCTCGTCGGCGAGGTCACAGCAGGCGTCCCCGATTTTTGAGAATCTCTCCGCTAGCTCCTCCACTTGGCTGTCTGCTGCCCGTGGATGTCTCCGGCCAAACTCCCACAACAAGCTGGGGGTTGGAGAGACACAGAGAGAGAGAGACACAGAGACACAGAGACACAGAGAGAGACACACACAGAGACACAGAGAGAGAGAGACACAGAGACACACAGAGAGACACAGAGAGAGAGACACAGAGACACAGAGACACAGAGAGAGACACAGAGAGAGACACAGAGACACAGAGAGAGAGAGAGACACAGAGAGAGAGACACAGATACACAGAGACTCACAGAGAGAGAGAGAGAGACACGGAGAGAGACACAGAGACACAGAGACTCACAGAGAGAGAGACACAGAGACACAGAGACTCACAGAGAGAGAGACACAGAGAGAGAGACACAGAGACACAGAGACTCACAGAGAGAGAGAGACACGGAGAGAGACACAGAGACACAGAGACTCACAGAGAGAGAGAGACACAGAGACACAGAGACTCACAGAGAGAGAGAGACACAGAGAGAGACACACAGAGACTCACAGAGAGAGAGAGACACAGAGAGACACAGAGACACAGAGAGAGAGAGAGACACGGAGAGAGACACAGATACACAGAGACTCACAGAGAGAGAGACAGAGAGAGACACAGAGACACAGAGACTCACAGAGAGAGAGACACAGAGACACAAAGACACAGAGAGAGACACAGAGAGAGACAAAGATAGAGACACAGAGACACAGAGAGAGACACACAGAGACATAGAGAGAGACACAGAGACACAGAGAGAGAGACACAGAGAGAGACACAGAGACATAGAGAGAGACTCAGAGACACAGAGAGAGACACAGAGAGAGAGACACAGAGACTCACAGAGAGACACAGAGACACAGAGACACAGAGACACAGAGACTCACAGAGAGAGAGAGACATAGAGAGAGACACAGAGGCACAGAGAGAGACACAGAAAGAGACACAGAGAAAGACACAGAGAGAGACACAGAGACATGGAGAGAGACACAGAGACACAGAGACTCATAGAGAGACACAGAGACATAGAGAGAGACACAGAGACTCACAGAGAGACACAGAGACATAGAGAGAGACACAGAGAGACACAGAGACACAGAGACTCACAGAGAGAGACACAGAGATACTGACACACAGAGAGAGAGACAGAGACACAGAGACACAGAGACATAGAGAGAGACACAGAGAGAGACACAGAGACATAGAGAGAGACACAGAGAGAGACACACAGAGACACAGAGACACAGAGAGAGACACAGAGAGACACAGAGACACAGAGACACAGAGAGAGACACAGAGAGAGAAACAGAGACATAGAGAGAGACACAGAGAGACACAGAGAGACACAGAGACACAGAGAGACTCACAGAGAGAGACACAGAGAGAGACACAGAGACATAGAGAGAGACTCAGAGAGAGACACAGAGACACAGAGAGAGACACAGAGACTCACAGAGAGAGACACAGAGAGAGACACACAGAGACACAGAGACACACAGAGACTCACAGAGAGAGAGACACAGAGAGAGAGACACAGACAAAGACACAGAGACACAGAGACACAGAGACACAGAGACTCACAGAGAGAGACAGAGACATAGAGAGAGACACAGAGAGACACAGAGACACAGAGACTCACAGAGAGAGACACAGAGATACTGACACACAGAGAGAGAGACAGAGACACAGATACACAGAGAGAGACACAGAGACATAGAGAGATACACAGAGAGACACAGAGAGACACAGAGAGACTCACAGAGAGAGAGACAGAGAGAGACACAGAGACACAGAGAGAGACACAGAGAGAGACACAGAGACAGCGAGAGAGACACAGAGAGAGAGACAGAGAGAGAGACACAAAGACACAGAGACTCACAGAGAGAAAGAGACACGGAGAGAGACACAGAGACACAGAGACTCACAGAGAGAGAGAGACACAGAGACACAGAGACACAGAGAGAGACACAGAGAGAGAGACACAGAGACACAGAGAGAGACACAGAGAGACTCACATAGAGACACAGAGAGAGAGAGACACAGAGACACAGAGACACAGAGAGAGAGAGACACGGAGAGAGACACAGAGACACAGAGAGAGACACACAGAGACACAGAGAGACACAGAGACACAGAGACACAGAGAGAGACACACAGAGACACAGAGAGAGACACAGAGAGAGACACACAGAGACACAGAGAGAGACACACAGAGACACAGAGACTCAGAGAGAGAGAGACACGGAGAGAGACACAGAGACACACAGAGACACAGAGAGAGAGACACACAGAGAGAGACACAGATAGAGACACAGAGAGAGACACAGAGACATAGAGAGAGACACAGAGAGAGAGAGACAGAGACACAGAGAGAGACACAGAGACACAGAGAGAGACACACAGAGAGAGACACAGATAGAGACACAGAGAGAGACACAGAGACATAGAGAGAGACACAGAGAGAGAGACAGAGACACAGAGAGAGACACAGAGAGAGACACAGAGAGAGACACACAGAGACTCACAGAGAGACACAGAGAGACACAGAGAGAGACACAGAGACACAGAGAGAGACACAGAGACACAGAGACTCACAGAGAGACGCAGAGACACAGAGAGAGACACAGAGAGAGAGACACATAGAGACACAGAGAGAGACACAGAGACACAGAGAGAGACACAGAGAGAGAGAGACACATAGAGACACAGAGAGAGACACAGAGACATAGAGAGAGACACAGAGAGAGACACATAGAGACACAGAGAGAGACACAGAGACATAGAGAGAGACACAGAGAGAGACACATAGAGACACAGAGAGAGACACAGAGACACACAGAGAGAGACAGAGACACAGAGACATAGAGACTCACAGAGAGACACAGAGACACAGATAGAGACACAGATAGAGACACAGAGACATAGAGAGAGACACAGAGACACAGAGACACAGAGACACACGGAGACACACAGAGAGAGACACAGAGACACACAGAGAGACACAGAGACATAGAGAGAGACACAGAGACACACAGAGAGAGACACAGAGAGAGACACAGAGACACAGAGAGACACAGAGATACTGACACACAGAGAGACTCACAGAGAGACACAGACAGAGAGACACAGAGAGACACAGAGAGAGACACAGAGAGACAGACAGAGAGAGAGACACAGAGACACAGAGACACAGAGACACACTGAGAGACAGAGAGAGACACAGAGACACAGAGATACTGACACACAGAGAGACTCACAGAGAGACACAGACAGAGAGACACAGAGAGACACAGAGAGAGACACAGAGACACAGAGAGACACAGAGATGCACAGAGAGAGACACAGAGAGAGACACAGAGACACAGAGAGAGAGAGAGACACACAGAGAGAGAGAGACACAGAGACACACAGAGAGACACAGAGAGAGACACAGAGACTCACAGAGAGAGAGACAGAGAGAGACACAGAGACACAGAGACTCACAGAGAGAGAGAGACAGAGAGAGAGACACAGAGACACAGAGACTCACAGAGAGAGAGACACGGAGAGAGACACAGAGACACAGAGACTCACAGAGAGAGAGAGACACGGAGAGAGACACAGAGACACAGAGACTCACAGAGAGAGAGAGACACAGAGACACAGAGACTCACAGAGAGAGAGAGACACAGAGAGAGAGACACAGAGACTCACAGAGAGAGAGAGACACAGAGAGACACAGAGACACAGAGAGAGAGAGAGACACGGAGAGAGACACAGATACACAGAGACTCACAGAGAGAGAGACAGAGAGAGACACAGAGACACAGAGACTCACAGAGAGAGAGACACAGAGACACACAGACACAGAGAGAGACACAGAGAGAGACAAAGATAGAGACACAGAGACACAGAGAGAGACACACAGAGACATAGAGAGAGACACAGAGACACAGAGAGAGAGACACAGAGAGAGACACAGAGACATAGAGAGAGACTCAGAGACACAGAGAGAGACACAGAGAGAGAGACACAGAGACTCACAGAGAGACACAGAGACACAGAGACACAGAGACACAGAGACTCACAGAGAGAGAGAGACATAGAGAGAGACACAGAGGCACAGAGAGAGACACAGAAAGAGACACAGAGAAAGACACAGAGAGAGACACAGAGACATGGAGAGAGACACAGAGACACAGAGACTCATAGAGAGACACAGAGACATAGAGAGAGACACAGAGACTCACAGAGAGACACAGAGACATAGAGAGAGACACAGAGAGACACAGAGACACAGAGACTCACAGAGAGAGACACAGAGATACTGACACACAGAGAGAGAGACAGAGACACAGAGACACAGAGACATAGAGAGAGACACAGAGAGAGACACAGAGACATAGAGAGAGACACAGAGAGAGACACAGAGAGACACAGAGACACAGAGACACAGAGAGAGACACAGAGAGACACAGAGACACAGAGACACAGAGAGAGACACAGAGAGAGAAACAGAGACATAGAGAGAGACACAGAGAGACACAGAGAGACACAGAGACACAGAGAGACTCACAGAGAGAGACACAGAGAGAGACACAGAGACATAGAGAGAGACTCAGAGAGAGACACAGAGACACAGAGAGAGACACAGAGACTCACAGAGAGAGACACAGAGAGAGACACACAGAGACACAGAGACACACAGAGACTCACAGAGAGAGAGACACACAGAGAGAGACACAGACAAAGACACAGAGACACAGAGACACAGAGACACAGAGACTCACAGAGAGAGACAGAGACATAGAGAGAGACACAGAGAGACACAGAGACACAGAGACTCACAGAGAGAGACACAGAGATACTGACACACAGAGAGAGAGACAGAGACACAGAGACACAGAGAGAGACACAGAGACATAGAGAGATACACAGAGAGACACAGAGAGACACAGAGAGACTCACAAAGAGAGAGACAGAGAGAGACACAGAGACACAGAGAGAGACACAGAGAGAGACACAGAGACAGCGAGAGAGACACAGAGAGAGAGACAGAGAGA